CCCTTTCTGACCTTAGAGACAACCTCCAGGGGATGTTCTGCGTGTTGATACTAAGGAGCCCGGTGGTATAATGAGTCCCTGGTTCAGCTGCTAACGGCAAGGTCAGCAGTTCAAAAATGCCAGCCGCTCCTTGAGAGAAAGAGGAGGCTTTCTACTACTCCTGCAAAGAGTTCCAATCCCAGAAACCCACAAGGGCAGTTCTACCCTGCCCTACAGGGTCATCAGGCGCTTGGATTGACTTGATGGCAGTGAGCTGGGAGCATTGGAGGGTCCCAGGGCTTTAGCACTCCAATCACACTTGCAGGGGCTTCTCTTATAAAACGTCACTGGCCAGAAGCAGGAGGACCACTGGGAGAAAGTGGTAGAATTTCAACACTCCTGCCTTCAATTTTATTTGCTCTCCTAAACACACGTGCACCCCAGCCCCTGCAAAGAACCTTGGTGGAGAAGGCGGCATCCTCAATCATGTATTCCGTGTTCCTTCAATTCAGAAATACCGGCAGAGCACTTGCTACAACAGGCATGGTTCTGGGGGCTGGGGGACTGACATCAGCCGTCAAGGCAAGATTCGGTTTGTGTTCTCTGCCCCAGTCATGCTGCTCATGCCACGTTCCACACACTGCAGGCATGGGAGGGGGTCTCATCAGAGCAGGACTTTTTTGGCTACCGTTTTATAGTAAGACTATGAAATCTGAGTATTTCTTTTTCTTTTAACTTAACAGTTTTATTGGCATATAATTCGCCTATCACACAACTCAATAGTTCAATTCTTTGAAGAAGTGCTGTACAATTCATCACTACAATCCATCTCAGAGCAGTTTCTTCTTAGACTCACTATGATTAGCTCTCCATCTCCCCCAACCTCGCCTGCCAGGCCCCCAAGAAACCATTCATCCAGTGACTGTCTCTCTCGATTTACCTATCCTGGATTTCATATGCAGAACAACATACAAACAAAACAAAACAAACAACAATAACCAAGTAAAGCGAAAATCTCACTCAAAAAGAAGCAGAGAATATTAAAAACGAGAACAAACTTAAAAAGGGTCGAAAGGGAGAGCACATGATGAGGTGTTAGATTTTTAACCTGAAATCCGGGCATTTCTGATACACGTTGGTTTCTTCCGAGGACTCCGAAGGGGAGCCTGGTCGGGCCTCTCTCTGGGCATCTGGTGAAGGCTGACAACCTTTGGGATTCTTGGCTTGTAGGTGCAGCCTTCAGTCTCCGCCTCCATCTCCATCTGCCCATCTTTCCTTCATGTCTTTCCTCTGTGTGGCCTCTTCCTTCACAACGCTGCCTCCCAGACTGGGTTAGTGCCCACCTTGCTCCACTGGTACTTCCAAATGACACCACCGCGCACAGGTAACCGGTGTTAGGATTCAGGCCCCTCTCTTGGGGAGATGCATTTTGATTCAGAACACAGAGTGGAAAAACGAAACACTTCACAGTAAGGGACTTGTGGAGAACATGCCTTACATAAGATAAATGATAAGGATTTAAAACACAAGCTTAAAGATTACAAATTTTAACAAACAGCTACTGCATTCACAAGATATATGATCCTGAACGCACACGAGAAGTCTTCCTCCAGCCTTGCCTCCCCAGCCATGCCGCCAGCCTCAGAGCACCCTCTGTTAAAGACAATGAGGAAGAAGATCCACCCGATCTGGTATTGTCCAAGTAGGAAAAGGGGCCTCCAAATCCACCAGGATTCCGTCCCTGAGTGAGAGGAAGGGGAAGCTCATGTAGCTAGACTGGCCAAGGAAGACCCCCTGTGGTGGGGACTTTGGAAGAAAGCTGAGGTGTGAGTTTACAGACATGATGGGAGAAGCAGGTGGCCTGTTGGCAAGTGCTGAGGCTAAGATAGAAGTCATGTCCGTGAGCAATTCTATCAGAGACCTGGGGATGGTCTCTGGGAATCTCATGTCTTCCTGTTGATCTTCCTCATGGAACTCCAGAAGGAGCTCAAGGAGTCAGTCTGGTTCCCCGCTGACCTCCTGGTGAACCTTAGTGATGGAATCTATGTCCCCTGGTGAACCTTAGTGATGGAATCTATGTCCCCTGGTGAACCTCAGTGATGGAATCCATGTTCCCAGCTCACAGCTACACAACATAGCAGGCGATACCTACCCAGTCGCTACCATTGAGTAGATTCCGACTCATCGCAAGCCCGTAGGACAGACCTGGCGCTGTGAATGTCCAAGGCTGTACATCTCTATGAGAGCAGAAAGCCCCCTCTTTCTCCCTTGGAGCAGCTGGTGGGTTAGTATTGCTGACCTTGCCATTAGCAGCCCGATGCTCGCTTAGTCCACTATGTCCCCAGAGTGCCTGTAAACCCACGGCTGTGAGTCCTGACAGGACAGAGTACAACTGTTCCGTTGCGTTCTCACAATTTTAACTCTTTATGAGAACAGACAGCCACCTCTTTCTCCCATGGAGCAGCTGGTAGATTTGCACTACTGACCCTGTGGCTAGAAGTTCAATGTGTAATCAGCTATGCCACCATGTTCCTTAGAAGGCAACAAGCCCTACTAACTTCAACCCCATGTGATAACCACTCTTGGGCAGAGGGTTTCTGGGATGGAGGATTGTTTCTCTGATAAAAAACGAGGGCCCTTATCTTCTCTGCTCTCCCTCTGGGCCAGGGGGAACTGTCGACGAGGGAGATGCTCAGTGCATGGCTGACTGCATCCCTCGATTCCTGGGCTTCGCTCAGCTGTTTAATCCCTGAAGAGCATCACCTTGTGGAGTCTCACGGGGGCTGGCTCCCTTGGGAAGCTTTTGGCTTGACCCTTATGTCCTTGCCTGAGGACCACCTGCGTTCTGAGTCACTTACTGTGACCCTGCACCCCCAGAATGTAAAGGCTGCCTCGGAAGAAGTGAGCCTTTAAGTGCCTGGAGGGGCAAACTTTTTTTTTTGTGGGGTGGGAGTGGGGTGTTCATCTTAACTTTTATTTATTTATTTTTCAAATGCTTGTTTTATTTATTTTTATTTTAAGAAATCATTTTAATGGGGGCTTTTACAGCTCTTCTAACAATCCATACATCACTTGAATCCAGCACATTTGTTACCATCATCATTTCCCAAACATTTTCTTTCTCCTAGGGGCACACTTTTAAGGATGGTTTTAATATGCTCATGTGAGAGAGGGGCAGTCACCGAGGGAAAAAGACATGAGATGGATCATTTTTATAAGACGGATGTCATGGCTTTCTCCACAGCTTCGGGAACTGTGCAAGGAAAATGCATATGCAAAGGGGCAGATTGCTACCCTTGAAGAGGCCATAAGCACCCATGAGACGGAAGCAAAGGCTAGCCGGGAGACGATCATGAGGCTGGCCGAGGAAGTCAACAGGCTGCAGGGGAAAGCCGCCTCCTGTCTGGAGGCAAAAGACAAACAGAGCCAGGTACCGTCTGTGGAGTGAGTGTGTGTGTGTGTGTGTGTGTGTGTGTGTGTGTGTGTGCATCTGTGGCCCTTTTCATGGGGCAGAAACTGGACGCAGGGTGAATGGCCACAGTTTCTCCCAGCATGCTCTCAGCAGGAGGCTGGGGGCCAAATACCACTCCCTGACTTCAACAGGCTGGTCATTATTTTCATCCCCCCCCCCACTAGTTAAAAACAAACGACAAAAAGGGAAACACTGAATATTTAAGCATAAAGATTTTATAGAGAATATGTCATACCTTATTTGAATTAGGTTTAACTTTATATGTTTAACTTTTATATTTTTGAACAAATAGCAATACAGTTACAAGATACAAAATTCAACATGTACACAGAGGTATACGGTTAAAAGTCGTCCTCCTGCTCCATGTCCCCAGCTGCTTCTGCTAACCTTGCCTTTTGGCTACAGGCCCTTCCCAGGTTACAAGTACGATCTGCTCCTACCTCGGGCTTAAGAATTTGCACATCAGTTAAAACAGTAGCATGCAGTTTATAGATACCTTTACTTGATTGAAAACTCCAAGCCTTTTTAATAACTTAAAAGCTTCGCATGCAGCCAGTGAACGTGATTGTGATGAAGAATTTGTTGCAAGTAGGGTTTGAGCCCTGGTCGTGTAGTGGTTAAACGTTGGGCTACTCCCTGAAAGGCCAGCAGTTCAAAACCACTAACTGCTCCTTGAGAGAAAGATGGCATTTTCTACTCCATAAAGAGTTACAGTTTTACAGTGGGGGCTGGGGGCATGGAGTTTGATTCAATTATTTCAAAAAACTCAAAACAAAACCCAAAATAACCCTCACTATCATTTGACTTGCGACCCTACAGGACAGAGTAGAATTCCCACTGTCAGTTTCCGAGGCTGTAACACTTTATGGGGGTAGGAAAGCTTCATCCTTCTCCCTTGGGGTTGGTGGTTTTGAACCGCCAACCTTGCAATTAACCCAATGCCTAAGCTACCATCTTTCCCCGAAAGTAAGACATCCCCCCAAATAAAACCTACTTACAGTTTTGCCTCTCACTGAAATATAAGGCATCCCCTGAAAATAAGACCTCTCTGAAAATGAGGCCCCCTGAAGCTACCATAACTCTGAATTCTGGACTGTAGTGGCGGGTGCCGCTGCACAGCTCACTGTTGGCTGCAGCGCAGCCAGAGCAGACAGGAAGAGTGAGGTGTCTTTTAATAAAACAATAAATGTGTACCATATTCTTCTTCATGGAAAAATAAGACATCCCCTGAAAATAAGACTTAACGCATCTTTGGGAGCAAAAATTAATATAAGACACTGTCTTATTTTCGGGGAAACAGGGTACTATGCTGTAGGAGTTGTCAGTAAATCAGATCTCCATAACCAGGGACTGCCTGTCTACCTTGCTAGAATCCTTACACATAGCCACATAAGGAGGCCCTGAGTGGTACACCTGGGTAAATTTCTTGCTGATAACTGGAAGTCTGGGGGTTCAAATCCTCCTAGACATATCTCAGATGAAAGGCCTGGCTAGTACTTCACCAGACCCAATCAGATAGCATTCATAAGGCTCAGCAGACAGAACTGGAACTATTTATAGCTTTTTTTCCTTTCATGTCTGTCT